AAACACGATCCTAAAAACCTACCTCTGCAGCCTGGCAAAACCCCTTTCAAAGCTTTTCTGAGACACTGAAGAACAGGGCATGGGAAATTATGTCTGGAGTACTCTCCATGTTGCAGGACACTTTGGGACAAGCATCTATGCTGGGATCCCCAAAAATCTCTTCATCTGCCTGCTCTTGATACACCCTGGAACATGGAGGGTGCTACAAATGTCATTCTGCAGTGCCTTGATGTCCAACATTTTGGAAATGCTTTGGTTGGTGCACTGCCAGGCTGCAAAGGTAGGGCTTTTGGGATGGCATTGTCAGATGTAACTATGAAGTTACATTGGCAATGCAGGATCTTAGCCATTACAAACTCACCAAATTCCTACAGCTAGTAAGGACAGTGGCCATGGTGATAGGAGGACTGTAGGAGTGGTAATCCAAAAAGTTATTGTTCTAAACTTTGACAAAATAAAGTATTACCTCTCCATGAGGAGGTAGAATAGCTAAAGATCTGCTTGGGGCTGCTTGTGTACACTCTGTGGCATGCACATAAGGCCTCTCTCCCTGTTTGAACTCAAAAGAGGACAAGATTAATTGCCGCAAAATCCCTCACTGCCCTCCTGTTTTATTCACAAAGGCTCTTCAAATATATTTCTTTCATATCATCACTAGCTTGGCATATGCTGCTGACATTAGAGAAAGAAAGAAAGAAAAATAAGGAAGAATGTTTTTTCATATTCAAAGACCCAACCCCGGAATCTGTGGGATGAATTCTGAAAGCCTGTTAGTCAGCAGTGAAGTGGGACAAGCTATAAACTATTCTCTTCCAGTTGAAAATATTTACTAGTAAATACTGAGAGGATGGGATGAGAGTGGAAGACAAATGACAGCCTAGGCCCAAAATTGAATTGCTAGGGGGGAAGCTCATGAGAAGAAACAGGTTTCTCTCGCCAGGTCGCCCAACAGTTTTCCAATGTGTTGTCAAAAAATCGCAACCAAGTGATACATTTTAAAGATGATTAACGTGAGATCTGCCCTTATAACCCTGTCTAGCCACATGCTGTTCAGCAGCCATGTATTACTGGGTGGTGGGAGGAACATCAGAGGACTGCAATTTTTTGTTTTGTTTTGTTTTCTGCCTGCCTGAAACTGCAGAAATACAATGAACTCTTAGCCAAAAATCTGTAGTTGTTTGGCTCTGCTTGGCTTGATATGTCACATGTTGTGCAGGCCTACTGAAGAAAAATGAGGGCTGGCATTCTGTATTGCAATTACGGATTTGTAACCTATAACTGCTCCATATTCTATAGGATTACATAAAGGCACCCTCCAGCCCACCTTAACAGCTAGCAGCTGCATTGGGTAAAGGAGGTCTGTTCAGATGGCAGTGGAGGCTGAAGGAAGGGGATGTTTCCAGCCCCCTCCCACCAATGAGCAAGGCTGCAACAAGGAACTGCAACAGGAGTTCTGGTTCTGATTGTTGCAGCCTCACAACCAGAGAATGTCATCCTCCTTGCACCTCGACTGGCAGCTGAACAATCTCCTTTGCCCAATGCAGTAGCTGGTTCTTAAGGGAGACAGGGAGGGTTGGGCCAGGAGACATTGGTTGGAATTCAGGTAGGGACATCCACATGTGTAAGCGTTACTTACACATGTTGATGTACTTTTTCGGGTGCTGTGGAGGCTGGTATTCCCTTCCACTCCACACTACACCAAAGATCCCCTTCCTAACTTACTGAAAAGCCCCCAAAGTGCCTCACACAGTCGTTCCACGCTTCAAGATGAGCAGAAAGAATCAGAAAAAACAGCTGGCAACTTCTTTCCTCCAAGTAAGATGCACAATGATTACAGGTGTGGTGACATTCCCAGAGGACCCCTATGGATCTTAGCACTGAAATCATCATCATCATTGTGCCTCCAGATATTGAGAGGGGGAGAGGTAGCCAGTTCTTCTCTGATCCTTGAAGTATGGAATGGTCATGCAAGACAACTTTGGGGCTTGACAGTAAATTATGTGGTGATACATGGCTCAGCGTAGCATAGATCCGCATACAGATATTTATGCTATGCTGAGGGGATGTTGAATCGAGATCATCACTTAGTTACCCATGTGTAACTAATATTTAGAAATTTGTTAAAAGTCTATTTATGTTTTTTTAAGGTTACAGTGTATTCAGTGTAATAAAACCAGTGAGATTGATGTAAGCATGCCACATTCAAGAAGGTTTTTTTTTTAAAAAAAGCAGTCATTACCACTATAACTATTAACTAATCCTCTTGTAAGTCCTGACTAGAGTAGACCCACTAAATCAGTGGGATTTACCTATGTGCTGACAGGTTGTTAACTGTCTTCAAGTCAGCCTTGCCTCATGGTGACAATGAGCATGAGACATTTCCAAGAACTCCTGTTCTTAGGTCCTGAAGACTCACGGCCATGTCCTCAAGTCTATCCATCTGGTCTTCCTCTCTTCCTAGTGCCTTCCACCTTTCCAAGGATTATCATCTTTTCCAGTGAGTCATGTCTTCTCATGTTGATGCCAAAGTATGAAAGCCTCATAGTCATCTTGGCTTCCCGGAGAGTTCAGGCTTGATTTGTTCTAGGACCCATTTGTTTATCTTTTTAGCTCTTCACAAAATTCTTCTCCAGCATCCCATCTCAAATGAGTTTATTTTCTTTTTATTAGCTTTGTTGTTGTTGTTGTTGTTAACTGCTTTCAAGTCGATTTTGATTCATAGTGACCCCATAAATAAAACATCTCCAAGACCCCCTGTCCTCAACTGCTCTGCTCAGGTCCTGTAGGCTCAGGGCTGTGGCTTCCTTGATGGGGTCTATCCATCTAGCATGTGGTCTTGCTCACTTTCTATTACTCCCCACCTTTCCTAGCATTATTATCTTTTCTACTGAGTCTTGTATTCTCATGATGTGTCTAAAGTATGATAAGTCTCATTGTTGTCATTCTGGCTTCCAGTGATAGTTCAGGCTTGATCGACTCTAGGATCCATTTGTTTTAGACTGTGCATAGTATTCTCAGCTCTCTTCTCCAGCACCACATCTCAAATTAGTTAATTGTCCTTCTGTCAGCCTTCTTCACCATCCAGCTCTCACATCCGTACATGGTGATGGGCAATATGATTGTTTGGACTATCCTAAAAGTGTTCAGTTTTATGTCTTTGCACTTTATGATTTTGTCTAGTTCATTCATAACTGCCTTTCCCAGTCCTAGCCTTTTTCTGATATCTTGAATTTGTCAGCTTTACCACTCGAGTATTGATTGAATTGACTCTACTTGGGACTAACCAACAGGATGCCAGCCTATTCCCTAATGGCTGGCATCCTGTTAGTGAGTTATGATAGTGTTAGCACAAGTTATGCTATCATGAGCATCTTCTGGTCATTACTGAAGTTGGAACCCTATTGACCACTCAACCTATTTTCCTGTACCTATGATGCAAGTACATCATCAGGGACCTCCCCAGGAGCCCAGAAATCTTTGCAGATGCCTATTATAGCACATCCACCTACAGGAAAATAACTGGACACATCCCTCTGATCTCTCTGTTCTCCAACAACATGAAAATGACCATGTGTAAAGGAAGCTGCACCACTTAAAATGTGAGATTGGGAAGCTTAGCACCAAGAGACATAGTTATGGAGATGTAGCTACATGCCACATGTTTGTCTCCTGATGCAAAATTCCAGCCAATATTTTGTTTTTTTAAAGGCAAACAAACAAACACAGGCTTTGCTCCTTGCTTACACCATGTATTATATACAGCAACAATTCATTTTTTAAAATCTGCCTACTGTACTTTAACTGCCATGGCTGTATCCTATGAAATCCTGGAGTTTGTAGTTTGATGAGACATTAGAGCTCTCTGGCTGAGAATTTGAAATAACTCTCCCTAAACAGCTAGTGCCAGCATTCCCTAGAATGCAGTCATGGCAGTTAAAGTGCAGTCATAGTGCTATAATGGTATAGTGTAAAAGGGTTCCTTTTATAGTTCCTTTGCAGTGCCTTTCCAGGTCGTATCCTTCTGATTTCTTCACTACATATGGTTCCCCAGATTTGCAGCTGGAAAGCAACTAGGGCTGAAGGAGGTTGCATCCCACGGTATTTGGAAGACCACAAGTTCCTCATCTTGATCTACAGCAAGTGTTCTACTGATGAATTTCAACACAGATACAATTTGACAAAATCTTGACATTTTCTTGTGACACTTGAGGCAGTCATCATAGGAGCAGGTCCTAATTCTCTCATTTTCAGAAACAACATGAGGTGGAAAAGTTCTTAAATGGAACATAAGTAAGTGTGGGAAGGGCTCAACTTCAGACTAGATTTACTGTACATCCAAGTATCACATAATCCTGCTTTGTAGAGTTTAAGTATTTAAACATCTCTCGTAACACCCAGTGACATAAGATCTATTATCTTGCAACCAGTTTCATTGCACTTACTTAAAAGGGCATTTTCAAGCAAGTTTTGATTTAGTGGCTCATCCACTTTAAAAGTTCCAAGCTAGCTACAAATCTCTTTCCTTATCCCCAAACTCCTGTTTCTTTAAATGTATGGTGCTGTTAAGATGTTCTAAAATCAGAGAAAACATTCTTCACAAAGAGAGAGAGAGAGATTCAGAGCAATCCTGAATGGAGGTCTCTCATTCATAGGGCAACCATAAACTGAAACAAAACCAATTAAAACAACAAGTTTGGGCCATGTTCACCACAAAATCTCCATCACCACCACACCCTATACCTCCCTCCTTTTCTAGTGGGTACTACTGGAAGAAAATTTCAGTGTCTTAGGTATGGCCTTGATGGCATGCTCCTGTTACTTCTGATGTCTGTCTCTTCTGATTTCTTGTTGTTGTTTACCTTCAAGTAATTTCTGACTTATGGTGAGCCTGGAGGAATCTATCGTGAGTTTTCTTGGCAAGATTTGTCCAAAGGAATTCCATTGCCTTCCCCTGAGGCGGAGAGCATGTGACTTGCCCAAGCTCACCCAAGTGGGTTTCATGGCCAAGCTGAGACTCGAACCCTGGTCTCCAGAGTCATAGTCCAGCACTCAAACCACTACACCACACTGCCTCTCCTTCTGACTTCTAGCTGAGGTTATGACTACATCTTTACAAGGAGCAATTTACAAAGAAGAAATGTAAGTTTTCTATAACTCTATGAAGCTGTCTTCTACTGGAGTCTACATTTTGTTACATCTAACCTATACTGGCTTCACTGTCTAAACCAGGGGTCGGCAACCTACGGCCCGCGGGCCGGATTCGGCCCCGAGA